CTCAACGATTGGATCGTAACACCCGCGTACAGAGACTTGCGCGCCCTTGCCCTTGTATCAAAGATTTTCAGCAACCCCGCCCAGCGGGCTTTGTTCAAGTTCGCGATGGTCAAAACCACCGGACATCTCATGCGCCTTTTGCGCAGTTTGCTTCTTTACCCTTACAACAGACCTCATGTGCGCTGTTTTGTCGCAGTTCTCCAAGATCACCCGCGCCCATTGGCATATCAGTTCGCACCCCCCACTCTGGTACTGGCCGAGTTCATCTTCTACCTCATGCCGCTGTTCGCCATCGACGCGGCCAAAGAGCTTCCCAACGAAAGCTTCTTCCGTCGCACAATTCCCTTATTACAAGGCACGCTCCATCGCCTAGCTAACAGCAACCTCACCTTTATACGGTACCCTTAATCGATTCTACACCGATCAACCTCCACACCATGGAAGACCAGCTCCTCACCGCAACCGTCCAACTATGCCCGAATCTTGCAGCCACTCGAATCTCCTTCGGCTCACCGCAACGCTATCCACCGCAGGAAGCAAGGCAACCAATCCAGGAACCTTCAGTCTACGTCAGCCTAGCCGAGGATCACAGCTCAAAGCTGACATCTCTCAGTCTTGACTTCGGTGCCCTTCTGTGGCAAACAAATCTCCAGGATTACGTACCCGGATACCCAGCCGGTTTACCCCCCTCCGTCGAACGTCTCACATTGGTTGGCAACGAGCTGGAACCGCTTCAGAGTCCGTACTTCGACCTGAAGATCCTTACCAACTGGCTAAACACCAATAACTGCCTGCGTGAGCTTCGTATGGTGTACGGTTTTGACAAGCTCGTTACATATAGGTGGTTCGTCTATTGCCCTGTCCATCCCGCTCCTCAATGGCCCAACTAGAACACCATCTTGCTCAAGTACAGGACCACGCTCGAGGTCCTTGAGATGGACTGGTTTCCGGCCTTCAGCCACTTCTCCGAGGGGCGGTTCGGACCATCTGCCGTCTTGGACTACCTCCCGCACATGCAAGAATTGCGATCTTTAAGAGCGCCGCTGCATGCTCTTGGTGGATTGGAATCGACATATATTGTAGACGGAAGGGAGTGGCGAAGTGCTGGGCTCCCGCCTAACGTACTCTCCCCCGGGTGTACGAAGATCGAAATGATGGTCCGCAATGATGATTTGCCACAACCAGGTACTGAGGAGGGTGTGATGAGAGAGTGGAAGATTCTTAAATGCCATCCAAACGGGGATTGTTACAGCCTGACAGTCGACATATGGACTCATCCAGTTCTCTACTTAAGATGCTGGCACAAAGCAGGCAGTGTTCTTGATGGAAGGGAGCTATAGTTTACAGTTCACAGCCGGAGACATCATGGTGCTTTAGGAATATGGACTTGATGTAGTTGTCTGGCACCCAGGTGGGAAGGGAAGGGACGGGGAGGCAGGATTTAGAAGGAAGTATGTAGAAGAGCTTCCAGTACTGGAGCCTCTCACTTCCTTTCAAGGAGAAGTCATTAAGGATCTTGATTGCCGAAGCTTGTATTAAGGTAGACCTACTTAGAGTCTGAGGCACGACATCGATAATCAAGCATCAATAGTGTGAGGGAGACACAAGCAAATCTATTCACGGCATATTAATCTTCAAATAACCATAGTACTTTGTTATAGGGTGATTGGTGGGCAATTGGGCAAGATATCCGCGAGTGTCCGTGACGTCTTCCGCACATGTCGGAAAAGGGGTTAGTGGACCTAGGGCCGAAACCACTCATACATAGCCACATATCGGCCATTGTCTACCTAGCTTGCAAAAAGCGGCGCCTTCTGACGCCCATTGTGAGCTAGACCAAAGGTTCACATTTGAACCCAAAGCGGTTCACTGCCACGTGCACGGGCCGGCCTGGGGCGGGACCGGGCCCATTCACTCCGGACTCCATTCACTCCCGGGCTCACCGGTGAATTGAAGGTTCGCGCCCCTTTTACACTTCACTGGCCGTTGTCTTTCACTGACCAAAATATTGGCATCCACACTAACAGGTACTTAATCCTCCCCGGCCCTGACCTCCGCCAATTTTCTTCCTGCAACAAAACACCACCGCACCCTCGTCCCTCGATTGCACCAAGGAACGACCTCAACCGCACAACCCCATCCCTCTCAGTCACATTTCAGCGACAACGAGAGCGATTACATCGAGTATCATAGCTTGGCCTTTAACACGCAGACGAAGTGCTGCAACCTGAAACCGACCATCGCGGCTTCGAACACCCTTTGACACTCGACAATTCGACGTGACGATTCTTTCCTCTTCACTCCAAAAGCTGCTTGTCACGTACGACGAATTGCCTTCTTCCTGCGACGAAATCTTTTCTCTCCAATTTCGTTTATCCGGTGTTATTCGTCCCACGCGCCTGCCAAGCAATCCTGTCGGTCACCTCTCATCGACGCGAAGACCGCCAGTCGAGTCGAGCCCTCAACTGAGGCCTGTTTGGTATATAACCTGTAGGTTGCATCTTTCTTTATCATCGACGCTCCATGGTTCACCTTGGTCATTGATCGAACCAACCAGTAGCCTCCTTCTAGGACTCACCTAGAATGAACAGTCAACAAGGAACGACATTCATCAAGACAAACGAGCCGATACCGCACAACCGAAGAGACAACTGGAGATAGCTTTTCCAATGATGCAAGCTCAACAGTCCCCATTCCAGCAAGGATGGGCACCACTGGAGTGCCTGCCATCTGAAGTGCTTGAGAAACTCGCCGAGTTTGTCGGCGACATTGCCATCATCACCGCAAGTGAGGAAGCCGACCATTTCAGTGAGAACATCATCGACTCACCCGCGTCAAACACATGGGGGCCAAGTTACCACGACATGCAGTCTTTGGCCCTTGTCTCCTCAAGCTTCAAGTACCCGGCGCAGCGTGCTCTTTTCCAAGTCGCCGTCCTGAAGACCACCAGTGGCCTGATGCGCTTTGTTCAAAGCCTGCTGATGTACCCGGACAACCGGCGCCACGTACGATATCTCGTGGCTGTCATTACAGACTATGACCGCGCGTTGTCTATCAGATCGAGGCCTCCTCAGCCGTTGGTCTTGAGAGAATTCTACCGCAAGGTCTACCGTCTTCTCTCCACACCTCAAGCCAATGTTCTCCCCGAGAACGGCTTTCTCCGCCGTACCTTGCAAAGGGCGATCGACATCTTGCTCGCGACACCGCGTACCCTATTTGCCGCGACAGTCATCCAAATCATCCGTGTGAGCGGTATCAACTTTCACGCTATAGAGGACCAGGTCCTCACCACGGCTGTTCAACTCTGCACAAGAATCAAGGGAGTCCGCTTCTGCTTCGGTGAGCCTATGCGCCATTCCTTGCCCCCCAGGCCCATCACCACCAACATGAACCCAATCTTGCCTATCCCACCCGCGGCCAACCCGTCTTACTCCAGCCTGTTACGCAACCACCCATTACGTTTCACGTCTCTGACTCTGGACTTCGGCTCCCTTTACTCCTTAATCAACCTCAGGAGCTTTGAGCGGGGCTACCCAACCGGCCTGCCACCCTCAATCGAGCGTCTTACCCTGGTCGGAAACCGGGTTGACTCGGAATTACCCTACGAGCTTTTCACAATCGAGAGACTTGCCGGTTGGCTGAGGACCAACCACCAGTTGCGCGAGCTCAGACTGGTCGACGACTTCGACAAGATGGTTCGCTATGCCGACAACAGACTCTCGCACAATGTCAACCCTGGTCCCCTGCCTGCCCATGCGCTCAACTGGAACGACATCTTGCGTTCCTACCGTAACACGCTTGAGCTGTTGGAGATGGGTTGGGACAAGCCTTCCGCTTTGGGCATGAAGGCCAAGTTTGGCGAGTCCGGGCAGCTCGACTGCTTGCCCGAGATGAACAGCCTCAGATATCTCAAGGCGCCCTTGGTCAGTCTTGGAGGCAACTTCATTGTTCCACTGAGCAATGATGAGAACCTCATCGAGTCGGTAAAGACCGGGTTCCCTGCCAGCTTGAGGAATGTTGACCTGATGGTGGTCAATCCGCCTCAGACACGGGCAGAGAGGGATGAACTAAGCTGGAGGTTTGTCGAGTTCCAGCTTTGAAACACGGCACTGCCATGTTCTCTAAGGACAAGCTCTGAAGAAAAACAATTTTTTTTGCAGAGGCTGTATGCATGAAGGTCAGGTTGACCGTTGATTTTCATGAGGAAAGGGCAGGGAAACGGTATAAGGAAGAGAAAAGGAAGATAGGCGCGACGGTAAATGACGGAACAGTGCCCCTGGTCTGTTAGAAGTTCAAAAGGTTGATTCAGAATTGTAGGTGTCGTGTAAGTAATCTGTCTACGACCGGTATGTGAGGGCTATGTATGCTCTGCCGTCAGGAAAAGAAGCGTCCCATTGCCATTTCTCAGTCTCTTCAGTGGACCTCGCACCTGGGGGCGGACCGTGTGCTAGCTATTGATAAACGAATGGGCCAGAATTCGGAAAACAGCACGTTATGGAGTTGAAGAATTCGTCTGGGAACAGAGTGTACATTGAGAACCTCCAGTATACCAAACCCTGCGTGACCGCGCAACCAGATTCGAAAGGAGAGTGGAAAGATTTTTAAAAGGACGCATACATGGATTTACATTTGCAGACCGCTGTGTGAGAACAAGGGTGAAGTGGCCTTGTGTACTGTAATGTAGGAGAGAAATGAGACCAGTTGAAGAAATATGTGTACGCATTAAGACTTGCCAACTTTGGTAGGAAAACATCTATCTTGATACAGACTCTTGGCATCATGACACATAGATACCTCTAGGTATATATAGCCTGGAAAGAATACAGCTACCTGCCACCCCCTCCTCACGGTTGCTACCATATACGAAGCGTCATTTCTCTCAACCCAAAAGCATCGAGGTATTCTGGCAATAATTTTGGGTCAAACCACGCACTGTGAAGCCAATTGTATGTCACTCGCTCGTAGATCTCCCCACCGTCATCCTCTCCCATCGGTCGTAGCATTAGCATGTGAACGTTGAACTTATCATGTTCTTGACGTTCATCAAAGAAACAAGCCGATCCTCTTCTTTCAGAGCCTCGCCGATAAGGTGTAGTTCTGCTGGAAGGCGCAGCAACGGTGAGCTCTGCATCTTGGTCGAGTCTACGGGATGGGTCTGATGGGAAAGTGTTCAGAATGGAATGTTATGATGGATGAGTCAAGGGAGAAGCAGGAAAAGCTGAAGCTGATAATGAAGAGGCTGACTGGGTAGGTACTTATACGCACCGGAGGCTCCTATCCAAGTCTTCGCTTGGGTGACTTGTGTACGCTAGTTATTGGGTAAGACCTCTCCCCCTTGCAGTGGTAGCCTAATACGACACACGGGGAAGCTTGCCGGTACTTCCACATCGTGTCGTTAGCTTATAGAGTTCAGCAACTTCGGCTTGTATTTCGGGTTATAGCGGGGTGCTAACCATCTATATTTGCATGCGTCGAAGTGCCTGGTACTCACTATTGATCAATTTGTATGGTGTGCAAAGAAGGCACCCATAAGAACCTGGGAGGCTGCTGATTTACTAGGTCGAGTAACACCACGTGTACACCGTTAGCATAGCTGCCTCATTAAACCAAAGTTTCGGTCGGCAAAAGCAAATGGAGAGGTACTTACCGTGATCCTTGACGCCTATAAGGATTAGAGCCAGATACCCTCACACACCAACCAGACTGGATTTGGCGCATTGCCATCTCCTCCGTAGGCTCGGGCCTTGAACGTCGAAGCAGGCCCACGAGTAACAGCACGACTGGGGTTCACGAACTTTACCCGAAAATACTACAAACACTCCATATAACCGCACTGTTATAAGATACCTTCCCCACATTCCTCTGTTCGAATATGTCCTAATCCCCCAACTTCAGACTTGTACATTCACCAACCATCCTCCTCACCGCGGCTCTCGTTCATCGTATTGACGATATCCAGCTTACTTATGAACCTTCCATCGCTCCATACGCCAATTGCTGCAGACACCAGACCATATCAGACGGTCAACACACCAGACCTCAGAGACTACATCTGTCAGTCCCTGCTCCTCACCAGCCGCCCTCCATTCGCTCCATGAGACCAGCCTTTCCAAAACAGGAGAATGGGCCCGTCTCTTTTCTCGTGATGAATTAGATGCCCTGCCAGCCTCAGTCTGGCTCTCACACGCCAGTCCGACAGAGTGAACACACCTCGTTCAGCCCTTAGATCCGTGCTGATCCGGTCCATGCACGTTTTCGTCCTTTTTCGGGCGGCTGCGGTGATCTTGGCATTCTTGATGTGCTTCAGGAAAAGCTTCAACAGCTTGTATGCGGCCACTGGGTGCGTGAGAGGTAGAAACGGAACGCCGTGTGAGATGGCGTGCTCGAGCGGGGTGGAGTTGAGCTTGCCACCCTTGAGCATTGGCGATGCTCCATGGCAGAGAAATGTCTTGATGGTTTCCTTCGCCCTTTCCCTGCGGGCAAATAATGGAAGACGGTCACGGTATGAAGGGTTTCGGTGATAACCGAACCCGCCGTTGACCCATTCTGGGTTCTCTCGTCTGTACGCCCGTTCGTGGTAAATGAGCCATTGCAGCGCGGTCTGCGTGGTCTGACTCCCAGTGAAGCCGTACTTTCCGTCAGGATCGCAGCCGAGACGCAGTAAATTTTCGGCTGTTTCGTACTGGTCCCGCCTGAGTGCTTCAAGGAGTGGTGACATCCCTTCATTACCGTGACCAGCAGGATATGGACCCAGGCTGGCCCCTCCCTTGCGAACAAGTGCCGAAAGGATTGTATCCATGCCCGTAATGTCCCGGAATTCACCACTTCTGCTCGACGCACACAGAGAGGCTTGCTGAACAAGGGTGGAACGCGCACCGTGACTCCCGCCAGGGATGACCACGTTGACCAGTTGGCGGAGGCTTGGGTACTCCAGCATCGTGGACAGGAATCCGATGTTCTTGGTGGAAATAGCCTTACGCATCGCAGTTAGGAGGATTAAGCCCTGGTCGTAGTGTTGGGATTCCAACAAAACAGCTGGACCAAGGTAATCCATAATAAGCCTCGTGGCTCCAAGATGGCCCTTGGAAAAAGCCAGGTGTAGTGTCGAACAGTGGTTCTCCTGCGCCCCATGGCCAGTAGTTGCACATTAACACATGTTGATAGAAGCTTGGCCGGGCGTAATGATCACGGCACCAGCTGTGATCAACCGTTTTGCCGAGCGGTCAAGGCCTTTCTGAACAACATGCTGGAGTATCGTTCCCAAGCCATACAGATGATTATTCGGCGACGTATCGTAGTGGGTCAAGGAGACTTTGCCGTGACAAACCCGGACACGGGCATTGACATCTGCTCCGTATGCTTTGGCGTGAGCCATAACAGGCGTTGACTCGTTGATGATGCCCCACATAAGCGCCTTGATGAAGTGGTTCGAACCTGGTGCTGGATCCTTCCTCCCATTGTATAGGCAGTAACGCGGGTTTCTGGCGTGCCTCGTGGTGAGGTAGAGCCGTGGCTCGTACATTGACCTCAGCCTACTGGAAGACCTGGACAACACAGCGAGCGTGTCCCACCGAGAATCGTCCTCCAAAAATCCCGAGACTATGAGGTGGATCTCGGTTGGCAGGTAGGGACGTCCCTGTGCGGTTCGGGCGACGATCCTGGCCATGGTCGTCTGTTTGTTCGGTTACCAAATGGAAGGTCATATTTGGATGCTCGCGGCAGATTTACTAACTACAAGTAAATTGCCAAACACTTAATGGTCGTCGAACTCAAAATGTAATCGCAGGCTTAGAGTGTTCGTCTAAGGTTTGCGATCGATACGGGTTGGACCCTAGGTACTGCTGGGTATCGCGTCGGTTGTTGACAATGGGGAAGGCCGGGAAGAAGTGGTAATAAATCACCCTGGTTGATTCTGGTCAACGGCGCGTGATGTGTTGTGGTTCGGGAGAGTGACCGGTTGTTGGGAAAACTGAAAAGTGCGAGCCGGTCGCAAATGTAGTTTTTGGGATGTTTATATAATAATGGAGGAAGGGGAACGAAAGGGAAATGGCAAAATCAACCAGGGGAACCTGCGGTGGATGTCGTGGTCGAATAGATAGGTGAATGGAAGATACCAGTGAAAGTGACCGACGTTGAACCTTTGAAAGTTGTGGTTAGGTGAGTAGGTGAAGGTGAGATAGCAGTGAAAGTGACTGGAGTTGAACCTTTGAGAGAAGCACCGGGATCACCGTATATGCCAACTGGCAGCCTCATTGCCTGGAAACCTTTAGCGGGAACCTTCAACCCTTCATCTGGTGTCTGACATCCCGCCAGACTTGCCAGGGCCTGCGGGCTGCTCGGCCCGTTCTTGTCCTGATCGTGAACTCGATCACGATGGAGCGGGATGTGGCTTTTCTGCCGGCAATTCTCAACTGTCTGCAGTCAACCGCAGTGAGACTAGGTTCACCAACGTTAGGAAATACGGTTATCGTGTGCTCTGTATTCAGTGGAGGCATACTTAGTAGAAGCAAAGGGAAGAAGGGTGATCACGAAGACTTTAAAGACTATCACTAGATTACTGCTCGGGACCTATGCCCCGAACTCGCCACTAGGAGTAATCTCTGCTTCGAAAAGCCATGAGCAAAGAAAGCGTCAATCTTCAAGCTTGGAAAATGAGAGATAAAGTGACAACAAACCCTTTCACACTTGTGACGAAAAGAGCCAGTAAGTTGATATCCACGTTGCCACTGTGGCCGTAATGAGATAGTGATACAAATTCCACACGCTACTTGTACAGGTGCAACAAATCCTCTGTCCGTGGGCGTGCGCTTGCATCACCCATCAAATCCATAGCCGAAAGATAAGCAAGAGAAAAACCCGACCTCCTTGCCAGAATAACGAGAAAGTACAATAACTTATACACTTTCAGATACCCTTCACTTCCTGACCAATCTGCCTCCCTCACGCGTCCATGCATGCCATCCTAAAAGGATTGGCGCAGGTTCCTCTTCAACGACTTCCTCCTCACCCCAGATTCCCAAATGGTGCTCTTGGAGCGGACCCTCGTAATCGTAAGACAGGTCGTGTGTCGCATGCTCAGCCCGCAAGTCCTGAACCATCGTCGCCATAATGTCCTCCGCTCTTCTCCTGGATTGCTCCGAGATGCCCTTGTCCGTAACATTTGCTAGCAAGAACTTCACAAATTTGAAGCCAAGGATTCTGAGACCAGGCGTGAGAAATGGCTCCATGTAGCTGAGCGCATTGTCGAGAGGAGAGTATCCGTCGAAATCAGTGATGTCGAGTGACGCCCCGTGCTTAAGAAGTACGACGATGAAGGCTTTTATCTCGCGGCGGCTTTGACCCTGCCACTGCGGCAAGATGGATGGTGCATGAGGCGGGCGGGAAAATCTGTTCTCATGTTGCGGGATGATGTAGGCGTGCAGTGGGCTCTCCCAGTCTTGAGTGACTGGATCAGGTCGGTCGCCATTTGGATCACAGCCCAGTTGGAGCAGGTATCTCGCGTTCGTTCGTAGGTGTCCTCGCTCAATCTCGTCCATGAGAGGGG